CGTACTACTACTACGTTACGTACTACTAATAAGAATAAATAATATTATTATATTATATATATATATATATATATATATATATATATATAAAAGATGTTAGTATTTCTGAATGTCAATTATTCTGAAAGCTTCCGAAGGAAACGTAAGCACAAAAGATATTTCAAATTCCTGACTTGTCCATCAATATTAATATGTTTTCCGCTTTCACCACATTTCATATATGTATGTAAGTGTGTGGTGGTGCATCAATCTTGTGTACTTTGGCGGAAGAAAGTAACGAGTAATATGACATTGTAATTTTGATTAGCTGTAATCAAGGTAGACATAGGGTAATAAAGTATACAAAGATTAACCAAATCACCCGATGTTAACTACTGACATCTGCTTGTACTCAAGATTAACCAAATCACCCGATGTTAACTACTGACATTTGCTTGTACTCAAGATTAACCAAACCACCCGATGTTAACTACTGACATTTGCTTGTACTCAAGATTAATCAAACCACCCGATGTTAAATACTGACATCTGCTTGTACTCAAGATTAATCAAACCACCCGATGTTAACTACTGACATTTGCTTGTACTCAAGATTAATCAAACCACCCGATGTTAACTACTGACATCTGCTTTTATATTGATTTAAGAAAATTCAATATTTATCATAGTTTTTAAAAACTTAAAACGATATTAGTTTACAAACGACACTAAAATGAGCGAAGTTTGAGTAGGAAATAAAAACCTTGACCTTTTAATTATAATGTTGTTCTGAATAACCAGCGAGACTTGTTTTTTTTTATATTCAGATTCACAGTGACCAAATGCCGTTCAAATGTGATTATTGCCAGCGACTTTTTAAACATAAACGTAGTCGTGATCGGCACATCAAGCTCCATACAGGGGACAAAAAATACCGCTGTCCGCATTGTGAGTCCGCATTTTCCAGGAGTGACCATTTAAAGATTCACATGAAGACACATGACCATGCCAAGCCATTTCAGTGTACGGTCTGCAATAGGGGTTACAATACTGCGGCTGCGCTGACTTCACATATGCAAAACCACAAAAAGGTGTCCACTAACACTTCCTCTGTATCTCGTGTCCAGTCACAGTCATTTCGATGTCTCCAGTGTTCCACGTGCTTCGCTTCCGCCAAGGATCTCCAGGTAAGAAAGGCGCCTTTATTTTCTCTTTACAGGATAGGTGCTAAAGAACTTTGTAAAAAAAAACAACAAGTTATAGGAGCGTAATTTCCACTTTGATCATTGAAAATATCTTTATAATAATTCAATATTTTTTTTTTTCGAGTCGAACCTCTATCAGCAAACAATTTTGTTATCCGGAGGGCACGTTTTTCATTCGTGTAATCAACACTAAGGCGATATCTGATTAGGTTAAATGTTGTTTTTATTAGTTTGTTTATTCCCACTGGTTAGCGTGCCGGACTGGATCCCTTGTTCGCGCCCCGTTACAGCCAAAAAACGTATACAAAATCGTTCTCCGGACTTTGAAGCCGTTGTTTCGTTATAAGAGTGACAATCCAATCCCATTATTCGGTTAGAGTAGCCCATGAGTTAACTAGCCCTTTCTTCATTCGCCCTCGAGTAGCTGTGCACGAAATTCAACAACAACAATCGTTACGCCCCCCCCACCCAGTAGCTGTGCACAAAATTCAACAACAACAATCGTTACGTCCCTCCCCCACCCAGTAGCTGTGCACGAAATTCAACAACAACAATCGTTACGTCCCTCTCCCACCCAGTAGTTGTGCACGAAATTCAACAATAACAATCGTTACGTCCCCCACCCCACCCAGGAAACGATAAACATAATTCTTTCTTTATTCATTCAGCATATGTATATTAATTTTTTATTCACTTCACAATTTCACCTTACTTTGCACCCCTCCCCCTGGAAACATTTCTACGAAGGCCCATGATTGTCGGATATACAAAGTATAGTGTATGTGGTTACAACGCTTCATTATCATATATAATATTCTGTTTATCCGATGATAAACAACGTTTAAGTTTTACGTTAGGGGCGCTTTCTCTAGTCATCAAAACAACAACAAAATGTTTTCCGACAAAATTGTAGCAATCATTTAATGAAAACTACAAACAAGGAAGACAAAGCACTACACGTAAAAATAAAACAAAAACTTTACGAGTCACACGCAGGATAAAAATTCTGCAATAAATTACAAGAGTTGACAACCATTGTAAAGTTACGTGATTATTGGGTAAACATCTTTTTACCAAAAGTTTGTAACGCGCTCTCGGGTATCAACACAATTTGGCCCGGCATGGCCAGGTGGTTAGGGTGCTCGACTCGCAATCTGAGGGTTGCGGGTTCGAATCCCCGTCCCACCAAACATGTTCGCCCTTTCAGTCGTGGGGCGTTATAATGTGACGGTCAATCCCATTATTCGTTGTTAAAAGAGTAGCCCAAGAGTTGGCGGTGGATGGTGATGACTAGCTGCTTTCCCTCTAGTCGTACACTGCTAAATTAGGGACGGCTAGCGCAGATAGCCCTCGTGTAGCTTTGCGCGAAATTCAAAAAACAAACAATAAAAACAATTTTGAGAAAATAAAATATCACTGACTAGAAAATTTGACAAATTTTGTCTGTCGCCGAACGTTCTGACTTAAGCCTTTTTCCGAGGTTACTTTACCAATATCATTCCAGCGTCATCATAAGTAAAGATTGTCGTCCATGTGGAATTTCTGCATGGGGATTAATTATACAAGTCATCTTTGCTTTTACACTGTGAAAAAATAGCAATTTTCAGTATTTCTTATTCTTCAACATCTATATTTACTTGCTTAGCTTTTGAAAAATGACAGCCATTTAGATTTTCGTCGAGCAATAAACAAAAACATTTTACGCAAATTTAAATAAGATAAGTCTCTCGAAAAGAGCGCTTAGGAGAAACTGATATCTATTAACTTTGTGTAAGTTACATTGGAAAGTAGAAACATTCTGCCCATGAAATAGCTTATTTCTACAGTGACACACACGAACATACTCAAAAAAAAAACGAGGGTTAGCGTTTCGAGAAATCACTGGATTGCAACTTCACTGTTGTTGACTTTTATACTGAACTTTACGGAATATTTTTGTTATCAGCTTTTTGTGTTTGTCTTAGTTCAAGTTAAGTTATTTTACTGATCGTTTCTACTATTGGCGGCTTTTTTCATCGCGATAAGAGAAGAAAGAGACCATAAAATAACAGCTGCCAAACGAGTCTTAGGTGAGGCGCTGATCTGTGATAGACGAGTACGGCTAGCCACAAGACAAGGATAAGCGGTTTTATTTTGATACGCTCTATCAACTCCAAGTACGAATTTCTTACCTAAATCGTTATTACAGATTTATCTGTCGATTCGGCTGTTTCAGATTATTAGTTCCTTGTCTGGCTTGTAATTTACTCAAGAATGTGTAGTATTTAACTTGCTAATTTATTCAGTTGAACATTTCAACGTACAATTTGTTAATGATAAATCGCTTGTTACAGAGTCAGAACGTTTAGGTGAATTCTAATTAGTAAACCTGGTCAAGGGCAAAATTTCAAAGGAATAAAATGGCGCTCGGTTATTTTGACGTTGATAGAGAAAAAACTCGCATACATGCTTCATTTAGATCAACGATTTTCAAACTTTTTCGTTCGCGGACCACTTCGGCGGGGAAAAAGACCCCGCGGACCACCTTATCGGTCCTACCCCACCCGCTTTCGCCTGCCACCGTAAATAAGAAAAATTCAAAATAAAACCTCATCAGAGTTAATGATAAGAATGGTGATGCTTTTGATGTGACTTGAATTTTGGACCAGTCTGCGGACCACACTTTGAGAACTCCTGATTTAGATTACCAGTTTATTACCAGTTTATTTGAATTATCAATGGGAACAGATAGAACTGTGGCGAGCACACGTTCTCGGAAGGCTTTCTTTGTTTGTAATTAAGCACAAGGCTACACAATGGGCTATATGTGCTCTGCTCACCACGGGTATCAAAACCCGGTTTCTAGCGTTGTAAGTCCGCAGACATACCGCTGTGCCACTGTGGGGCAGGAAAAGATAGAACTGTGGCCAGCACATGTTTGTTTGTAATTAAGCACAAGGCTACACAATGGGCTATCCTCGCTCTGCCCACCAAGGGTATCGAAACCCGGTTTCTCGGAAGGCCGTTTGCGCAAAATGTTCAACCTAAGCTTATTCACAAATGGATTATTAATGTATATTTACAAGAAATCGTGGGTCCATTGTACACTAGAACCAAATTGAAGATAATAGTAGAAATTATTCCGTGACGTGTTTCTTTCTTGTAGTGTTATACACAGATGTGGTAAGATCGATATATCTTAAGACACTCGTTCACCCCCCCCCCCCCCCACATAATGTGACATATATATACCCAAGAGTTACAAGTGAAAAACAAAAAAAAGACATGTCGAATGTCAACAAATAATGCACAACACAATCTTGCATCTGCAATGAGAATTATATTCTTATGCTTAAATGGGGGACTTATGCCACCTTTTTGTTTTAGAATTATATTCTTATGCTTAAATGGTAGACTTATGTCACCTCTATTTTTAGAATTATATTCTTATGCTTAAATGGCGGGCTTATGTCACCTCTTTTTTAGAATTATATTCTTATGCTTAAATGGTAGACTTATATCACCTCTTTTTTATAATTATATTATTATGCTTAAATGGCGGACCTATGCCACCTTTTTGTTTTATAATTATATTCTTATGCTTAAATGGCGGACTTATGCCACCTCGTTTTTTCACACTTTCCCGTTCCTTCGTTAAAATGTACCATCTTGATTATGCGACTTGAAGTTGTCGCGCGGCTTTGAATACCACAGAACTAAATAATTCCGTTTTTTCCATATTTTCCTCTTCGTACATGATGTGCCAACTTATTTTATCAAAGTTTCCTCTCTTATGATGCCGAAATCTAACCCAATTTCATACTTTTTTTACCATTCGCATTGATAAGTTTATCAAGAAATGAACCTGATTGAAATTAAAATTCACCACTAGTCGTTTGTGTCTGTTTTTGTAATGACAATAACAACTTGTCTTTTCTTTATTGCCACCAGAATCACATCGAGACCCATTGCGATCATAACATATCATCGAATGACACCAGGCGTCCTGTGCACCAAGAACTTTTTCCCACTTTGCAGGGTTTGGGTGATCACAAGGTAAGTCTTATCATTATGAGCTTATCACTAAGAGAGAAAGTAATTTCTTCTGAAACATTAAATATTCAGTTTACTGAGTTATACAGCTGTAATAAACTTTATAACGAAACAGCACTTAAAAATCTTTTATTTAGTTCCAAGCTCAAAAATAAAATGTTGCATTTTCATGTTTGGTTTTATGGTTAACTTATGATGTTTTTAAAAGTTTTGTAAACCTGGTACATAAAAAAAAAACAAACAACAACCCACAAACAAAAGCGTCACATAATAACAAATCGGGATCAGACAATGTGTTCAATTATTTATCAACAAAATTATCCATGTTTAAGTCAATGTACTAAATAGGCAATCTTAAAAGTATTTATTATATTAATTTTCAATGAGGCAAGAAAACACTTGAAACAACCTTCCAAAAACAAGATATGAACAGAGAAATGCTTCGTGTGATTTTTTTTTTGTTAACCAAATTTTCACGATCATTATTGAAAGATAAGTTATATTCTATAGTATTTTTTCATGACATTCATTGTGAAATAACCTATTCAACAGAAATTAACTTTAATTTTAACTGTACATCACGAAAGATTTCGGGAATTTATAAAGTTGTGCTGTTTAGTTCGTTCTTGTGTTTTATTCTAAAACGTAATCAGAGCATCTGTGTTATTTTAGAAAAATGACCTTTATTGACCCGATATTGTCGAAATGTTTATTGTAGATTAATGCTGATGTTGGGGTGGAGGACATTAGTGGAAGCGTTGAAGTAAAGAAAAATTACAACAAAGTCCTCTGTGGCTTCTGCACGAAAGATGGTTTTTCCACATTAGAGGCTCTACAGCTGCACGTGCAAGCAGAGCACATACCAACAAAAATTGGGCAACTTCTGTTGAATTCCTCGACGCTTTTCAGCCTGTCGTCCTTTGCGATATCTTTGCAGCAACAGAGTACAGTATGTAATAACAACGGCAGCTTTTCCTGTGAATATTGTAACACGAAATTCAGCAACATTCACAGTCTCCAAAAACACACACTCTCAGTTCACACTTTTACTGATAAAGTACAAGAAAACCTTTCTTGCTCGGAATGCAGTTCTCTTTCAGAACATTTGAAAACTGCCCACGATGAAAGAAACGGCAACCAACCTGCAAGCAATCGGGGAACGTCTACTAACGCCAGCAGTGAAAGGCTTGATAATTTTTCTATGAATGAGAAGTTGGATTCTCTTAAAGACTCGAAAATCAACGGAACCGTTCCACTTTTTTCTGCGACTGGTCCCTTTCTGTGTAGTCAGTGCAGTGCTGTATTTCCGGACTTCGAATCATTTCGTACTCACCTGAAAATTCACCTGGACGCGGTGGTTAAAAGATATTCCTGCAGCGAATGCGATGCTGAGTTTCACAGCGAAGAACATCTCGATATACATTACGTAACCCATTTTCTGGCAACCATTACCGAATACGGCTGCCGATGTTGTTTTAAAGTTTTTACTCAACCGGATGAATTGCAAAAACACCTGATGAACACCCACGCGCATCAGCTTTATAGGTGTTCTCTCTGTAAGGACCTATTCGACTCCAAGGTTAACATTCAGGTTCACTTTGCCATGAAACATAGCAATGAATGTTGCCTGTTTCAGTGTACGTCTTGTAAAGTGGCTTTTCGCTCAGAAGTGGAGTTCCAACTGCACGTGAAAGTCACGCATCTGTTAAAAATTCACCCTTTCCGCTGCTTGCTTTGTGATCAATGTTTCCCCACCGAATTTCAACTTCGTTATCACATGAACGCTCACCAAAAGCAGTTTGCCTGTGCGTTATGTGATGAAGCTTTTCACGTTGAATTTCTCTTAGACAAACATGTTCAGACTTGTCACTACGAAGCCGTTAACGACTCTTTCGTGGGCACTGTGTCTAACCAGTCGTCCATCTCTGCTGATGGTGTTCAAAATCTCAGCCTTAAACCATCTAATGGTGGGGAACCACTGGTGCCCTCTGTCCACCGTAGAAAAGACTTAAGATGCGAAATTTGCGACTGTGCTTTTTCCACAGAAATTCACCTGAGCGTCCATCATCGACAAATTCATAACTTTCGAATCTCCAGTTCTAGAAATGCAGGACCAACAGCGTTAAATTTGTTTTGTGCATATTGTAACGAATCTTGCAAATCTCGGGCAGAACTGGAAAACCACACAAAGGCACATACGATGAAGCCCTCCAAGAACAAATGTAATATTTGTGATGAGGTTTGCCCCACTGCCGTAACCCTAGCAGAACACAAACTGAATCACTGCAAAGTGCTGACTGCAAGCACATGTATTTGTTGCAGAAAAACTCTACAGAATGAAGAAGAGTATTATGGTCATTCCCAGCTGCATAACACCAATGGATTCCCTGTTCCGTGTGTTATATGTAGACAGAGTCTAATGTCAGATATGGAAATTCAAGTTCATGCCAGGTTTCACCTTAAAAATTGTGATCCTGTTCATCCTTGTTGCGTCTGCGCGAAACAGTTTGAAGTCACCAATCTCGTCATCACAGGAATACAAGACAAAAGGCACATCTACATGTGTAAAGTTTGTTTTCATGCTAGAAGTGAGGACATGCGTTGTCCAGAATGCAAGGTGAAGTTCGATACCTTAATAGCTCTAGACAGACATAAGTTAATCCATAAGAAGACATACCAGTGTATTAAGTGTCAAATGTCATTCGAAAGTGAGACAGAAATCCAAGCTCACGTGACGTCACACATGATCCAAGAAGGGACCAGCCATGAATGTAAATTGTGTAATACAGTGTTTGAATCCCCAGCTAAGCTTCAATGTCATCTGATTGAACATACATTTGAGGGTTGCAGCTGTTACATGTGTTACATGTGTAGTGCAGTGTTTACAGCCCCGCACTTGATACAGCAACACATGTTAGAACATGGACTCGGTTCTCGACCTTATGACTGTGCTCGTTGTCACCAGAAGTTTTTTTTCCGTGCTGAGTTAGAAAACCACTCCTACATACACGAGAGCAACACTGCTGATGAGAAGCAACCAAACCATCTAGACTGTAGCAAAGCATTCAACAAGACAGTTGATCTTAATAATCACTACAAAATCTACCAGGACAAGAATGACACTTTAAAATGTTCGATGTGTCCAAAACTGTTTCACAATTCCGCTGACATGCAACAACACTATTTTCGATGTCATGACGATAAGGAACTTAGAGATGGCAAAAAATCCTTTCCCTGCACGGAGTGCGGAAAGGTATTTCCATGCCTCAGTAATCTCCAAGGTCACACAAGGATCCACGCCCAGGGAACAAAGTACACTTGCCCAGAATGTAAAAAGGAGTTTGCCCTTTCTCGGAATCTCAATATCCACATGCGCTCTCATAGCGGGGAGAAACCCTACGAATGCCCCATTTGTAAAAAACGCTTTGCTCGCAAGGAAAATCGAAAGGCCCACCTACGATCTCACACTGGTCTCAAACCTTTCATGTGTCCCCACTGTGGGAAAGATTTCTCTCGCAAATGTCATGTCAAGGAGCACATGCGCATTCATATTACTTCCACCAATTTTCCGTGTGAGCTTTGCAGTGAAACGTTTTGTTCGCTCAAGCAGATGAAGCGCCATCTTGTGAATGACCACCACAAACAGTACGATCATGTATGTCATGTGTGTGGAGATGTTTTCAGCCAATCAAAAAGCCTTGAAGACCACGTGCAAAAGGATCACGACGTAACGAATTCAAATACTGAGAATGATGTATCTGAAGACTTGACCGAGTTTTCGCCTATTCGAAGTTCTACTTCAGAAGACATAACAGATATTGAAGGAAACGAGACAAGTAACCTAGTAGAAATATGTGATCCCAAAAAATCTCCACCTATAACAGCACAGGACAATGTCGCTCTTCCACCAGAGGTCGCGGCGTAGTCGAAAGATGTGAAATTTTAAATTGGGTGCTATTTGTTTCGACCTGCCATAAAAGTGGCCTTTAGTAAATAAACAAAAACTTGAATACTGACCATTGTTTTTAGTTAAGTTTAAAAACTAAAATCTAAACGATTGTAAATACTTACAGAGGTATATTTATTTACATAATATTATTTTTTTGTGCAGTTCTGTTTGTATTGAACATCTATATTTTCGCACACCCTGGTGAAGAAACCGGGAGCGATTCGTTATTTATTGGTTATTCAACCCTTCAAGAAACTAAACTATTCAAACGACTTATAAGTGGTATATTGTATTCACCAGTTGGGTTATTTTTTTCAAAGCAGTTGAAAAGGGGGGGGGGGAGAGTTTATTTTAGTGTGGATTTTGTTGCTTAGAAGCCAGAAACTTACGTAGTTGATGAACTATATCCTTTACTGGTTCTGGTAAATTGAAAATAAACAACTATCATCATCACGCCTTTTTCTGAGTTAATTTATCATACAATTAACGAATTAAAATGTAATAGACCTATTTAACAGCGGGTGCAGTTTCTATTCTAATTAAACGTAATTAATTAAATTTATTAAATGTAAGAAAACTGCTGAGACGCGTGAGTATTAATACACATGTTTTTTTGTCATATAGAAAAGTTAGAATATATTTAATGGCACTGCGAGATTTCTTAGCAGTTGGTTTTCATTCCACTCCAAAGAAATTACTGGAAGAGTCATTTAGCTAGTTGCCATGGTGATTTCAAAACCCATTTCTGTGATGATGTGCCTACAACTGTAGAACTTAATGATTTCTTGACCGTTTAGCTAGTTACTATGGTGATTTTTCAAGACCCGTTTCTACGGGGTAGCTCCCGCAATTATAAAACTTAACGATTCTTCCACGTTTAGCTCGTTGCCATGGTAAATTTCAAGAGCCGCTTCAGTGGGGATGTTCCTGAAACTAAACTTAATGACTTCTTGACTGTTTATCTATTTTTCGTGGTGATGTTTTTGTATCACTAGATTTTAATGATTCCTGTAAATAACTAAAATAGCTTCATCTCCTCTCAAAGTCATCTCGATAGTCTCGTTTCCTGCGTATGTAAAATATCATGCTCACATTTTTCCTAGTTTTTTTTTTCTTGGAGGATGGGGTTAATTTCACGGTTATCAAGGTAACAAGTTAGTTACTTCTGTTTTATCATTGAATTATGGTCGTGGTTTTAATCCTAACACTGCGTATTTTGTAGAGTTTCAAAGAGTGGAAGGTCAACAATTCTTAGTCTTTGAACTTCTTTGTCTGAGGCAATGTTTTACATTTCTGGAGTAAAGTTGGGCTTTGGTTTCTTTGTTTGAAGAAGTGTCTTAATTTCTGGAGTAAACTTGGGCTTTGGCTTTTTTGTTTGGAGAAGTGTTTTAATTTCTGGAGTAAACTTGGGCTTTGGCTTTTTTGTTTGGAGCAGTGTCTTAACTTTTGGAGTAAATTTGGGCTTTGGCTTTTTTGTTTGGAGCAGTGGCTTAATTTCTGGAGTAAACTTAGGCTTTGGGTTTCTTCGTCAGGGACAATGTTTAAAAGTTCTGGAGTAAGAGAGGACAATAGAGAAGAAGATTTGTTTGGTCAGAAATGAATGCATCATCCTAAACTTTAGTATGAGTAAAACTAAGCCGACAAATACTTGACCAGTACATAGAACAATACAGAATGTTTTTCCTGGCTCAAAATATTGAAATGTTATTCAAAATAAGAGACCTCAGATTTACATAGAATGACGGGTATGTGGTTGTATATGTTCAGTCTTTTGTTACGAATACGAAAAATGCTCATTTTGACCTTTAACTAAAGTATTGTCAAGTCTGTTGAGTAATAAGTAATAACAGGTATAACGTAACATTATCATTTCTGTGATTTCGTTATTTGTACTATGAATAACACAGGCCTGCGAATTTAAACTTCATAAAAGTTGTTTTGGTTTTAATAACGGATTTTCCATAATTAATGTACGAAGATTTTGAAAATAATATTCTTTTTTTTCTATTACGTAAGGATTTTTTACAAATCTGGAAAAGAAAACTTACTTAGATCAAATTATTATTTCGTTTACCACAACAAATATCTTTTATTATTACGTTTGTTAACAAAAATACAAACAAACTGAAGAAAAGAGAAGAACATTGATGTCAAACGAATATGTATTTTCATTCAACCTGATTTTTTTGTGTGTGAAATCTACGTATTTTAGTCTCAAAACTTTCTTTTAATCTTTCTTTAATGTATTGTGTTATGACGTTTTGTGAAAAATCTGTACGTGATGAAGAAAAATGAATATCGTTTTCAAATTCAGCGTGCAGGAATTACTGCAGAACATGTAAAAATTTAAGACAACAAACCCATCGCAGGCCTGTGTTAACAATAAAACCATCGCAGGCCTGTGTAATCTGTGGTTATATTTTTTTTTTTTATATTGTTAGCATATAGTGATCTAGAAGCTGGAAACAAATGAAAATTCAACTTGTAGTAGAAATAACCTATCCGTAAACCAGAAAAAGTTGACGAATAGGGTAGTTGCACTTCTGAGACGAATTAGAAATTCCACATGTGGGTGAAGACTGGAAGTTCTAGGGAATCGGGGACCTCTAATTTTATACAGTAAAACAACAACAACAACAAAACAAACCAGAACAGACAAGTATAGACTTGTTGCTCAATTTGTGAAAGTCAACAATAAACAGTTATTATCTACCAGTAATGAAAATCGAAACGGTATATCCCTTATTATTATATTTTATACCATTAATGAAAATCGGAACGGTATATCCCTTATTATTATATTTTATACCATTAATGAAAATCGGAACGGTATATCCCTTATTATTATATTTTATACCATTAATGAAAATCGGAACGGTATATCCCTTATTATTATATTTATACCTATTATGAAATCGTAACGTATATCCTTATTATTATATTTATAC